GTCTTCCCAAGAGTTGTTTTCTAGATCTGCTCTCTCTGCAGCCTCTTTACATGACTTCAAGCAGCCCTAAGACTTTTGATTCCCACCTTTTTCCTGACTATTTTATTTGCATATCTAACTGCCATGCCTTGGCTGTTCATCGACATGTCAAATTCAATAGGCCCCTAACTGAATTCATTATCCATGTCCACCTAACCGCCCCCAGAAAACCCATTCTTTTTTTAGTGTTTCCTCTACCATTCTCCATCACTCAGACTAGAGACTAAGAAGCACTCACTGATTCTCCTTCTCTTTTCTGTTCTCAGCCAGACTACAAGTCTGAATCTTACCATCTTAATATCACTTGAAACTATGGATTTGTCCTTTCTGTAGTTCTAGGGCACAGTCCCTCTACTAGACTATTGTAACATTTTCCTAAATGGGCTCTCTGTCTTTAGTTTTCCTTTTGCTGTATCAACCCCCAACCCCTCATTCACAGGGCTTGGGAAGTCTTCCAGGGTTCCTCAAACCTGTCATTAGGTACACTTTTATTTACTTTGTAGCCATTCTTCTTCACCTAAATGACCATCCCTCCGTATGATTACTGCCTGCTTATTTTTCCTATTTCTCCACTAGATGTTGACCCCTGCGAGATTGTGGTCGTGCTTACCATTCAATCCCCATGCCTAGCACAGCAAATGCTGCACAGAAGGCACTCAATAAATACTTCTTATAGATTGTTGATATTTCTAATATTCAAACTGTAAAAGTAGAAAGAAATTATAAATACATAAACTGCATGATGACAAAGTCTGGAATTAGAAGTCATGGATTAAATTCCTGCCTCTAACATTGCCTTATTGAATACTTTTGAAAAAATACAAAGTTTTCTCACTATAATGTAATCATACAACACCATTGCTGAGTATACAATAAATAATAGCATCTTGAATTTATGGCTCCTAAGTAGTTAGAAACATGTCTTATGAAATATTAATTTGTTCAGCATTTTGTTGGGTTAGGCTTTCCTCTTTGCTTCTAGAAGGTAATGAAAGGACATAGAGGTCCTCCTGAAATGATATTAAAACACTGGTCCAAGGTGATAACCTACTTTAAAGAATGTTGGGAAGATTTGTAAAGTCTGAGTAGGCTCCCAAGAGGAAAATGCATTCTGTAAGGTAGTTTTACACTCTCGTACATCCAATTTCTTAGGAATTCAAACTATTTGGGAGTCAAAATTTTACACATTATTTCCAACATTTCAGCTTATTCCTGATCCCTTTCTCCATGTTTTTCTGGAGACACATTTCTTCCCCCCACACCCAGGTGAACCATCTGTATACCAGGCTAGTTTTCCAAGATGTAAAACCAAGTGAAATATGTCCACTCCATTTACTTAGAAAGGACTATGACTAATGATACTGTGGGAAAAAATGGTGTAGTTAATGAAAAACTACACTCTGTGTGAACAGCCAGAGAAGACTAACTGTTATGGCTACGTAAAGCCATGACTTAACAGGAAAGTACTCAGTGCCTTCAGTGCCAGTACTTTTTAAGTTTATCCTCTGAGTACCTTGCATGGGTCAGTTCAGTATCTACCTGTAATCTATAGGTATCCCCTATGAAGTGAGGTTCTTTACCACCAACAAATGGTAAAATTTTTAAATATTTGTATAAGTCTTGCCTTCTACCCCATAATATGACAATGTTTGATTTACATTAAAAAAAGTTATTTAGTGTTTTTCAAACTTGAATCTTAAGGAAGATGTGCCATATTTGCTCTTGCCTTCAATAGTAAATAACCTTTAACCACCACCCCCAACACTTGCATATACCCTTCAAGCATTGTCTAGGTTTGAAAAATATAGGGTCCTAGAATATTACAGCCCAGGCCATGGGATTTTTGTTAGAATTTAAGAGAATTCTTCCACATGTCTCTTTCTACTCTGTTGCATATAAACTTCTGAAGTCTTTTTTCCCAAGTCACTAATAAAATCTTTATAATGCATCTCTAAGCACCTAATTGCTAGCATTTTCTACAGTTATGATGATTGAGGAATATAAAAATCAGCTTCCTCAAATAGAGATTTTCTGTTTGATGAAAAGTATCCATCCAAGGAGAGAATTACCTTTCCACTTTCCTCTTTAGATTTCATTAACACTGGAAAACAAACTAAAATTAAAAACTAATGCTTTTTGTGAGCATTTAGAAAATATGATCAAACAGCAAGCTGGTCATGCTCAGATAGGAGTACGAGAAGTGACTTATTTATACATTCAAATTTCAAAACATTTGTAAGGCCTACCATGTGTGCTTTTAAAAGGCTTTTAATTTTAAATTATTTTTGTTAGATAATCCTGTTCAAAGTGACATTATGATTTATCGCCACTAGTCAAGATTCTGATCCCTCGTAGACCTCTTGTTTGTATCTGTTTTTGTTCTTTGTTACATAAATATGAGATTTATATATAAAATTCTGACTGTGTAATATGGGGCTAATGAGTCACAGATGGAAAGATGTTGGCACATTACCATCTAATAACATTTTAAACTCATATTCCATAGTAAAACAAAAGCAAATTGTACACATCTGTTTTCCAACTTGTAGCATTTCTGAATTTGGGTAGCTTCTATGTTTCAAGGACTTTTACTTTGGGAGAAGAAAAAGAGGATACAGGTCACCTCAAAATTACCCAGACACTTGATAGCCATATCAGAAAGGATCTGGCAAAACAGATAAGATTTCCTCTGCTTCGCTTCCTGAGAAGTCCCAGCTCTAAAGAATGAAATTAAAAGGCATTAGGGCTGAAGAGATGTCTTCATACCACAAACATAATTTTATTGGTTCTTTTAAAAAGAAAAGTATATCCTGAATAAGGGGGAAATAAGAGAAAAAATATACCACGATTAATAAAATTAAAAAACTAGAAACTGGGGCGCCTGTGTGGCTCCGTGGGTTAAAGCCTCTGCCTTTGGCTCAGGTCATTATCTCAGAGTTCTGGGATCAAGCCCCACATCGGGCCCTCTGCTCTGCAGGGAGCCTGCTTCCTCCTCTCTCTCTGCCTGCCTCTCTGCCTACTTGTGATCTCTGTCTGTCAAATAAATAAATAAAATATTAAAAAAAAAAACAAACTAGAAACTTACTGGCCTTCGCTACAAATATCCTCAGAACAGATTTGAGCAGAGGAGGGGAAGGGCAATGAGGAGGGAATGTCTAGGAAGCCTGCACACACCTGAGGCCATGTAAGGTGTGGTTGCTGTTCATTTTATTTGTATGTTAAACATGTTCTGTGTGTGCGGGGCGGGGCGGGGGGGGGGAATGGAATAAAAGGCTCCAATATCTCACATAGCTGGAAAAGAAATAGAACAAAGGCAAAAGTTCTCTCTCAGACCTACCCAATTGAAATGCCTATGTCCACGAGTTAGTATAAATTTGTGAATATGAGTCTCTAAAACATCTCTTCCCGGTTCTCCCTGGTTAAGGAATTCAAAACCACTTTTCTACTTCAAGGGGTTGTGTGAACTGTCAAGTTCTTTTGGAAAAGTTACGTGACAGAAGCGATTACTGCAGAGTGTGACCATAAACTCCTCTGACATGAAATACGCATGTTATAAGAGACAGATTTCCATCCACCACCTCTGCAGGAATTCCTGAAACAGGAAAGACCTGAGATTCATCATATGATTGGAGAGGGAAATTTTGATATGTGGGTGGTAAGACTATCTTTTGTGGGGCAGACTGCATTTATTCTGAGGAATCTTTCTGATCAGATGGCAAAATTCTATTCACTGTTCTCTAAAGAAGAATTAATACGTGTATGTCCTGAGTTGTAAACAGAATATCAATGGAGGGTAATCACGGTGTTGTTTTCATAACAGTGTCTGTAGTTATCTCCATATTGTGCTAACATTTTGTGTGTAAGATTCCAGAAATGTTAAGAGCGTGTACACAGATCCCAGTGTAACTGCCACAACAGCAAGTTATAAGGAGTTCTCAATCTGGCCTTTCCATTAAAGGAACGTTTGGCCTGAGGGCCTCGTGTGTGTGCCTGGTTTCCTTTACAGTGTGTCAAACAAGACAAGACTTAGAGCCAGGACAGGGTGGCATTAGGTATATGCTTGTTTTGTTTGTCCATCAGTGGAATGTCTGTGTGACGTTTTGTGTCGTGTTGTTTTGGTGCTGTCCCACGTCCATAGGGTCTGCCAGGCTTCCCCACAGTTGCTGCTCTGCACAGTAATCAGATCCTCACCGTCAAGGTTTGTGGTTGGCACCCATGCTGCTCAGTCAGAGCCCACAATCAGCATAAGAGTGAGCAAGAACAGCTAAATTGGCTTGCCAAGTCCAGTTGCTCCCTTTCACCGTATGCAGGGAAGTTTTGGATCCTTGGGACCTCACCTACGTCCGTGAGGTCAAATATCTATTGAGAAGGAGAATCTTGAACATATAAGAAAATATCAAAGTCGAGCAGGGTCGATGAAGAGAGGCAGGCATGACTATCTAAGACTGTGCCACCCCTCAATGGTTTGATTTACGTGCATGACAACACTCCGTGACATTTTTCAGTCAATTAAAGAATCCTCAGTATTCTGGACTTGGGGCATTTATAAAATGGTGGTCGCGTTCATGCCACATTATGCTGGTTGACAAGTCTGACGGAAATTGAACTGGTGCTTTGTCTCCAGACTTTCTGCTCAGTGTGCAGGACACAGGTGATGGGAGCCTTCCTGCTGCTTTCATATACTGCATTCGAGAGGCCTAATACCCGCAGCAAAAGGATGGGACAACCAAAAGATCCCTCTCTAACTACAGATCTGGTCTCGCCATCCTATTTTAGGATTATGTTTCTTTCAAGAAGAGCCAGACAGTCTGATGTCAGACACAAGCACCAGTTCCCTTTTGTTTAATGATCATTATAAATCTAATGTGTATGTCTTTATTTCTTTCTTGGGGCCTTCTGATGTCTATTCTCCAATTCTCTCACCTCTGAACTTCAACCTTTGACCTCACCTGACTGATCAGATGGTGTTTCCTAAAATCAATCATGGGTTTCTCTCTGCTGATCAGCAGCTCATTAAACGCCGCCTCATTAAGGTAGTGCTTATTCTTGCTCAAGTCTGATTTCTTCTTAACATTCAGTTATTACTCCATTTACTGTTGCTTTACCATTTATCTCTCGTGGGTGGGGGTATTTATTTGGAAATATCCTAGAGCAAAACTATGTGTAGGGAGCTGCATTTGTTTGAAATGTATATGAAAGTACCAAAGTAAAAAGGCATAGAATGCCTAATTTTTTCTTCATTAGAAAAGAAAGACAACTGAAATTATATCCAGTAACAGATCAAGTTTCTAAGCTCTTTGGCTTTGGTAATTTATAAATCATTACACAGTTTGACAAGAGCTTGTATGTTTAATTTTATAGGTTGTGAAAAAGTAAACACATTTGTCCAACCACAAATGCAGCCATTTTATTAAATAAGGTGAATATAACTGATGCAGCATTTCCACAAATCAGGTTATGCAAAAGTTTTATACCAGCTCTGAGTACCATGATAACTTACACCATTTCCAAGAGCTGAGAGGGCTGGTTCCGGAGCTGCCTTGATTTTAATAGCATCTACTCAGTTCGCCCAGCATGAATATTTATTTGCTCCCTGCTGGAAGGCAAATTGCCTACAGGCATCATGTTCTGATTGTTCTGGTTTTTTTCATAGAGTAAACGTGGATTAGATAATACAAATTTAAAGTGTTGAAAAGAAAATCTGGGTCTTTATCTTTCATGGTCATTGTTGGTCTGTTCCCTTCCCCTTTATAGGGTGACCAAGGACAGGCTGGGCCTCCAGGACCTCCAGGCCCTCCTGGCCCAAGAGGGCCTCCAGGGGACACAGGGAAAGATGGCCCCCGTGGAATGCCAGGAGTGCCCGTGAGTTGCATTTTGGATCCATTTGTTTTAAGGGCTGAGAACAGGGGTGGAGTGGAGTAAGGAGGGGCCATAGGGTTAGAGGTTTGCAGGAAGTGAGGTGACAGAAAGTACCCAAGCAGACAGGGCACTGCCAACAGGATTCTGCCTCATGGCTCAACCCAGGGGAACCTATATGAACCACAAAGAGAGACCTGGAGAAGGCAGCTAAACTGGTTTTCAGGTAAGCCTCAAGAAATCTATGATTGAGTATGCCTGATCTCACTTGGGCCCTGACTACCTTAGAGTACATCAATGCCTTTGACTTAAATGGGAGAATAGCTTGAAACTCAAGGTGAGAGATTGGTAACATTCTCCAAAGGATTGAGGTAGATGATTAAGTCCCATGTGAATTATGGAAAGCAAAGGAGGTAAATCTTTTTAATGTTTACTCCCTCGTAAATAAATTGACCAAAAAGGAAAAACAATTGCAAATAAAATAATAACATTAATGGTTAAAACATCAGTAGGTATGGTTTGAATATCATTTGTCCTTTAAATATGAAGCTTTTGGGGCGCCTGGGTGGCTCAGTGGGTTAAGGCCTCTGCCTTCGGCTCAGGTCATGGTCTCAGGGTCCTGGGATCGAGCCCCGCATTGGGCTCTCTGCTCCTCGGGGAGCCTGCTTCTCCCTCTCTGTCTCTGCTTGCCTCTCTGCCTACTTGTGATCTCTCTGTCAAATAAAATAAAATCTTAAAAAAAAAATACATGTGAAAAAAAAATAATAGAAATTATTTTTTTAAAAAATTTTTTAAAGATTTTATTTATTTATTACAGAGAGAGAGAGAGCGAGAGCGAGCACAGGCAGGGGGAACGTCAGTCAGAGGGAGAAGCAGGCTCCCTGCTGAGCAAGGAGCCCCATGTGGGGCTCAAGCCCAGGACCCTGAGATCATGACCTGAGCAGAAGGTAGATGTTTAACTGACTGAGCCACCCAGGCATCCCAATAGAAGTGATTTTAAAGCAATCTCAATAGTTAGATCTAAGTACTTAGTTACTAAGATTGATCAAGTGTCAATAATACAGTAGTACAGGACACGAGATAAATGGTTTGATTTGGTAGAGACAGCCCAGCAATTGAAAAAAATATATGGAAAAGGTAAAAAAAAAAAAAAATTAATATTAAGGCCTTAGAACTTGAAATTCAAATCTATTGCTGAATTAATCTACTTATTATATTTATTTATCTATTGCTTTGACTTAAATATTTTCGTAAGTGTTTTCATAGTACAAAAGAATGAAAATATTTTTCTGCAAAATGGAAAGATTTTAAAACTAAAGAATCAAAAAGAAAAAAAATCAGCCATAGTCATTTATGTTTTGGAGTATTTCATTTTTATATTCAATATATTTATGTATTTTTTTCAAAGAGTAATTCTCTTTGTTAGAATGGTTTTCTGAGACAATCTCTTGGAAGTTCCATTTCCCTTTCTGAAAGCAGCTGTCAGTTTGTCATATGAAAGGAGGGATTGAATCCCAACCTATGATTGGTTGGCCGTTAGGATGTCTCACTGAACCATCAAAGGTAGTGGTTTTACCTTGAAACTGTCTTTGAAGGTCTGATCTTTTCCTGGGATGATATCCCAAAAGATAGAGACAGCATAACTTTAGGGATACTTAAATCTCCCCAAATAATTGCTGGTTGCCAAGAAAGATGCAATGAGTATTTCTTCAACTAAAAAGAACGGTTAAAACCATTTTGATGGTATAAAACTAGTCAGATCAGGGGCGCCTGGGTGGCTCAGTGGGTTAAAGTCTCTGCCTTCGGCTCAGGTCATGATCCCAGGGTCCTGGGATTGAGCCCCGCATCGGGCTCTCTGCTCCGCGGAAGGCCTGCTTCCTCCTCTCTCTCTGCCTGCCTCCCTGCCTGCTTGTGATCTCTCTCTCTGTCAAATGAATAAATAAAATCTTTAAAAAAAAAAAAAAAAAACTAGTCAGATCGTTGGGTCTTATATACTCTACAGAAAACTCAAAGTATAGATTACTTTCAAGATAGAAGATAAAGGTAAGATATGACAACCTGTAAAGAATTAAAAAATTATGTCATCCTTCAAATGAATATAGTTTATTCATCTGAGTAAGAATGGAGCTTTTTACAAAGAAGTATGAACAGGCTTTTTTTTTTTTTTTAATTCCACCTAGAGAAATTGAACAGGTTTTATAGTCTCGCAGTTAATTTTTATATGCCATCATAACCACTAGAAAAAGGTTTTATAAGAACAAACTGAGAAATACTTATTTTTAAAGTCCCAACAATTTCTATAGCTATTGATATTACAAGAATGGTTCTTCTAAAAGTTCTCTATTGCTAATGACTATCAATATGATAATATGATGATAAAACATAATAAGGAATTTTGTGTGAATCTGCATATTAGAAAACTATGATGGGGTATGATATAGCAAAACATTCTGTGTATTTGAACATATGCTATTCATTTTAATAAAACATGTTATTTCAGCCATCATTAATTCAGGAAAATCAAAATTCAAACTCGGTTTGCTCACTTTGTTATTTAATTACTGTACTAAGAGCAGTTGTGTCTCTGTCCTGTGTATGGAAGTTCTGAGATCTCATAAAGAGGATCAGGTCATCGTCTTTATGTCTTCATAAACAGAACATAATAAACGAGATATTACTGGAATTGCAATTAAATATTTTTCTAGGACCATTTACTGATTTAATATAATCACCCAGTAGGGGTGATTTTTATTTAGAATACATTCTTGGCATAATTCTTAAATCTCTGCTGTGATCTAGACTCATTTTAATAAATCCTAAAATGTTTATAAAATGCATTTGAAGAAAGAACGTGGCTCTCTTTTTACTGCATTGTATTTGCATTTCTCTACTTAGCCTGAAAAGTATATTTGACATTCATGCACCCCAGTGGCTATTGTGAAAGAGGAAAAAAAAAAAAGATTGAAATTGCTTTTTAATATTTATAGCATTAATAAAAATTATCACTGTTCTTTTTTAAGGGTGAACCAGGGAAACCAGGAGAGCAAGGCTTGATGGCAAGTATCTCAATTTCTTTTTCTATGCTAAAAAGAATAGAAGTCTAATTTATTCAAAACTGTGGTCCAGAATATGCATAAGGAAAAAGTGGGAGATTCCAGGCAGGAGAAATGACAAAGAGAGTGAGGAAGGTCAAAGGATGGAATTTTTGTTATTCCTTTCTTCCTTCCTGCTGTAAGGAAGATTATATTCAGGGATATGCATATTAGCTTAAATCGGAATGAGTTTCAAAGGAATGAGTTTTCAAAAGCTTTCAAAAGTCACATTCAGAGGAATATGACTGTGAATTAGTATAGTGAGTCTTCTAGAAGGATTCAAGGAGATTTTGTTGTTGAAGGGCTCCCCCCAGAAAGAAACAGTCGTGCCTTCTTGAGTCCTGTCATTAAAAAAGATCATGAAATGATTCCACATGGACTGGCCAATAGACATGCATGACCCATTCTTCATGATTTGTTTATTCTTTGCCAACGAAAGAGAAGTTGGGGCCTGGAAGAGTAGAATTCCTTCAACCTACCTCTTCCTGTCTCTTCCTTCCTATTTCCAGAGCCACCTTTCTAACCTATTTTATGACATAGATAATATTGGGGAACTCAGTTGGACCTTCTAATAACCCAGATTCCAGAGGACAGCTGTGTTTCACACTCATCCTGGATACAGTGGTCACAGTGAACTTGATTGTGTGCCTTATACACAATGTGTGGCTTGCATCTTACAGGTGTTTAGGGTCTAACGTTTATTTTAAAAAACTAGTTAGCTAGGTCCTAATGCAACTAACACACGAGAATACAGCAGTTGGTCAGGAATTAAAACAAATGTGTGAATGGGTTAAAGGTTAAAGGCTTCTCCCTGAATAGGATGCCTTCAACAGCCCTCCTGGGAAGAAACTCACCAAGCTGTAGTCCTAGCCATTGTGGGGTTGGCTTTGAAACATCACCAGTTAAAGGAAAGTACCCTAAAATGGAGTCTGAGCCCCCCCACCCCCACTGGAAATTCTTTGTTCCCGACCTATGGTATCAAGATAGAGAATTGATTCAGATGACTTGAAAGTGGAGGTACTATAATGGATTCTTTTTTAGAAAAATAAAATGGAAGAGAAAGAACAAAAAAAGATAATATGTGAAAATTAAACCAAACCTATATCATCAGTGGTAACTTTGGGTACAAGCACAGAATTCGTTTTCAGGGTTAGCAGGTCACAGGGGGTGAAGGATTCTTAGAAAACTACAATATAAATTTTAATACTGCCTTAAGCAGCTGAATGCAACTGTAATTTCTATCCTGGCTGATGGTCAAAACATATTTCTTCCAAACATTCTTACATGGAAGACCACGTGGGATTCTCAGGAGCCTATGTTTTTTTCTCCTCAGATTTTTATCATTGTCATTGGCTTTCTACCTTGATGCTCAATGCAGCATCCTAATATACAAAATTCTAAAATAAAGCAGATTTCATAAAAAATTAAAATCTTATCCTCCTTAAATTCATACATATACTTTAGAATATACTATGGGAATCACAATTTAACGTCATTTCTCTACAATTCCTAACTTCCTAGGACTTAGTTTTACTTGTCCTAAGTGAATTATGTTCATATCTTAGTTTGCTTTGATTTCCCATTTCATACAGCACCTTTTCAGGTGACAATCTCAGATGTTTGTTTCTGTTTTTTAATAAACTTTTACTTATCTTTAAACTCTTCTAATTTAGTTCATATTCTCATTTTTAGAATGTAGCTAAGAAACTTAATTGAAATCACAAATGTTCAAAGGATATTGTAATGTAATGATCTTCTAAAGTGCTGTTTTTTAAGATATAAAACTCTTTTTTTAGAAGAAAACTTCCATAATATATATAAAGAAAAGTAAGCAAATCACAAGTATACACCCCAGTGACTTTTCACAGTGAGCCTAACCATGTAACCACAAACCAGAGCAAGATGTTCAATATTAGTATATTCCAGAAACCCCCATCTGCCCTCCAGTCACCATCCACTTCTTCCCAAAGTTCACCACCATTCTGACTTCTGCCACCATTGATTAATTCTGCCGTCATTTGAATTTTATATTAATAGAATCATACAGTATGTGCACTTTTATGTCTGGCTTCTTTTGTTCAATGTTATATTTGTGAGATCATCCACCTCTGTTTTAATAGCCTTCACAGCTGCTTAAAAAAAAAAATTAGGAGGAAGAACCTTACTTCCTCGACTAACCCGTTAAATCTACTTCACTCAAATAGCAGTAAATGAATGAATAGTCTGTCTGACCTTGGGCAAGTCACTTAACCTCTCAATTTCTCATCTGTAAAGAAAGGATAATAATACCCTCTCTGCCTCCCTTAGAAGGTTGCCAAAGACAAATGCAATAAATTAGGGGAAAGCACTTTAAAATACATAACGAAGAACTATATGAGTATGTTATTATTATTATCACTCAGTTGTTTCCCCTAGAGTAAATTACAGGTGAACACGGATTTATATAACAGATGTATTCCTGTAAAGTTCTGTATGAATCAGATTTTCATAAATCAACATATCTTAAAAGTTCTGGGGAATTTTGCTATTTAAAGCAATCCCATTCAGAGTCTTTTTGTAAAGCAATATAATCCCCTAATTCCTCTTCCCAACAAACTGAATTTTTATATCGCATATTTGCTTAAAGTAAAATATTTCTATGGTTTAAAAAACTATTATTCTCAAAAAACCACTAGTCATATTTGTTAACTCAAATAGCACCTATATATTTTAAACCATCTCAAAGAAAAAAGAGGATCCTGGAAAAATAATAGCAGTTGTCATGGGAGAAAAAAGAAATTTTTTTTCTTTTAAATATTATGTATGTGTGGGGTGTGTGTGTGTGTGTGTGTGTGCGCGCACACACGTGCACACACATGCCCATGTTTGTTTTGACTCGAAGTCTGGCAGGGAGAAAATTACATTGCATCAGTAGTTCTGGCCTCACAACTGGTTAAGAGTGTTTGACTATAGTCTGTGATCTTTTTTTTAACTGATCTATGATGTATAGGCAGTAATTCCTAATTCATCTATCTCACTGGGTTATTGTGTGAAACAAGTGAAATAGTAATAATATGAAAATACTTTATGAACTATAAAGAGTTCCATAAATAAGAAGTATGGCTGTTAAGATGAATCCCTGTAGAAATAACACACAGAAAGGCCACTGTGAAACAGAAGGGCTAAGTACAGCGTGATTATAGCTGTCAGTGAAATTGCAGTGTATTAAATACTATGATCGAAAGTGCAACTTATCCTTTGGTCCTATTTGCTGTTGTCATTTTTTTTTTTTTTGGCCTTTTCCTATCATCTTACATTGTCAATTTTTCATAACTATCTTCTCATCCACCAGTTAAACAAGGAAAGATAATAAAAAACATGGCTCTCGTCTTTTCCACGGTATGCAAAACTCACTACATTTATTGCTTTGTATCATGGAGGAGTGTTTGCTTATAAAAGGGTCCTGAGAGGCACTGGAGAATTTTGTAAAATGTAAAATGTCTCTGATGATGACATGAAAAAACCTGGGAACGTTCTAAAATTAGCTCTTACAAAACTGTTTATGAGTGTGTCAGGTGGGGAATTAGTTTTCATAATCCAGGATATATATTTTATATTGCAAAAATAATCATCTGAAGATTAACAGCATCTCTGATAGAATAAAAAAGAAGGCCTGCGGCTCAAGCAGTTCCACATTTATTTAATCCTGCTGTGCATCTATTCTGTAAACATGACCTTTGGGTTTGCAGAGACGTTCAGGATGAGATTGTAAAAGACGGAATCATGAGCTAAAATAAATTGGACTCCATTTAAATAAGAAGAGAGTGGCTCTGAGTCATAAAACTAGACCCAAGAATCAAAGTTAGGACTGACCACAATCGGAAGTGCTCAAGTTCTGAACCCTGGTGCAAGTGATCTTTATTTTTCAAGGTCTTCAGAGGTTTAAATAGTTGTTCAAATAGCATTTTTGGAGTTAGCTTTTCTTTTGATATTCTTATTTCTTTCTTTGGCAAATATAGGAGTTCTCAAAAGCATGAAAGATAGATGTTTTATAAATCTCTATTAATATGTCGACTCATCCCAATTTCCTGGAAATTATTCTGTGGCCCAAAGTGTGTACATCCAATGCTTTATAGACCAAATCACTTTCTCTACTCTGAAACCCTATTTTCATCCTTCATTCTCTTCCCAAATGTATGTAAACTCCATAGCATATCCACTCATTTCTTTCTGAATTATAAGAGCATTTCAAATTCATTTGTTGGGCCTGGTAGTGTCAGAGATTTTTTTTTTTTTTTAATTCAGAAGTACTTTTGCTGTTATTATTCCTTACAGTAAAATTTGGACTTATGTCTGAACAGGTTATAGATGTGTTCAGTTTATTTTAATTTTGCCCGCAAATACATTTAATACATTAGGGTCAAGTGAAAGTAATGCATTTTATGTTAGCTGATAAAGTAAACATAAATAATTGCTTCTGCTTCATTTAAAATAAAATTGAAGTAACCAATATGTGAAGGTTGACTTTAAATGTATTTAGTTACAATGCTTTGCTCTCCCACCTCCAAAATTCATTTTACCTAACTGTACTTTGGTCTGTCAACTGTCTTGATCAGCAGGATGGCAGACATGGGAGACAACAGCAGTCTTTTCTTTTTGATTTTAATCTGGCGAAGAAAGCAAAAGCCCAAATCACAATAACAAAAATGATCAACATCATCCTAGGATATTTGGCGATTAGACTCGATTTTTACAATGGAATCTTATTGAGTAACACTGCTTTGCTTCATTTGTGCACATTGCCTGCTGGGATGCCTTAGCAACCTCTCTAATGCTTTATTATCCTCACTTAATCTGATTGTCCATGAAGTCCAAGTAAAGGCCACAACAACAGAGTCCTTCCCATCTCCTTGGTGCTTTTTGTCCAGAGACTGTAATGTTTGGTTTTCCAAATGGACCAAGGGAAAGTAGACAAGTAATGCCTT